CCCGGGGCCCGGGACCCCGCGACCCCGGGCCAGCCCTCCGCGCAGCGGGCAGGCTGGCCGCGCACCCCACGACTTCTCCCTTAGCCAGGAACCTGGCGGCCGCGGAGGGCCAGCCTTGTTGGTGGCTCGTAACGAAGGCACTTTTTTCCCTTTTCGGTGTCTCGTGGTTTCAGAGGTGACACACAGCGGGGTCGCGCTGCTGACACCCGGCGGCGCGCGCATTTCCTGTCGCATAGCGTCGGCTGTGCCCTCACTCTGGCCCATTCCCCAAGGAACTGTCAGGGCCCGGCTTGACCTGGTGACTTATGGGCAGGTGAAGCCGGCTTGGGTCACCTGACTTGGTAGAGGAGGGCTTGTTTGTCAAATCCAAGGGACTTGACGATCTTAAAAAGTAAGAAGTCAGTATATACCATTTTAGAAATTTGCGTTGGTCCTGGATTGGAGTCCGGGCCCGGACGCTGTCCCTGGGTGTCCTGTCCTCCAGGCTCAGCTCTTCCACTCCAAACTCCACCCTCAAGGACGTGCAAGCTTTTACTGCAAAAATACTTGTTAAGTGCAGGTCAGAGAGAAAGAAGCCATTGTCACATGTTCACTTACCCCTCCAATCATCTCGTTCCCAAGGACTTTAGAACTCCCTCTTACATGTGCAAATAATATGTGTACATGCAAGCCGGGGGCTGGTGGCTCACGGCTGTCATCCTAGCTACTCAGAAGGCTGAGAGCTGAGGATCACTGTTCAAACCCAGCCTGGGCAGGAAAGTGTGAGACTCTTATCTCCAGTAAACCACCAGAAAACTGGAAGTGTCACTGTGGCTCAACTGGTAGAGTGCTGGCCTTGAGCTGAAGAGCTCAGGGACAGTGCCCAGGCCCAGAGTTCAAGCCCCACGACTGACAAGAAAAAAAATGTGTACATGCTTATAGTCATAAGCAAATGCTTGCACTTTTTTTTGTTGTTCAGAATCTAGCACCTGGAGAAGTAGGCTTTAGTGAGTATCTGCTGAGTGAATCACAATGTTAGATTTTTTTTTACTTACATTGTAACACTTTCTTAAGTTTTTTGTTATAAAGATGATGTACAGAGGGGTTACAGTTACATAAGTCAGGTAAAGCGTATGTTTCTTTTTGGACAATACATTGTAACATTTTTGAAGAAAACATTTATGTGGCAATTTTTGTGATAACACTTCTGCTGCATTACTTTGTAAACTGTTTTGCAGGAAAGCAAAACCATATTTTGTAGAATAATAGGAAGTTAGAGACTGAACAAGCATATATGTATAGGAGAATATTTTTTTTTGTCCTGAGGTTTGACTTAGCTAGCACTCTTATCACTTGAGCCACTGCTCTACTTGTCCTTTTGGTGGCCAATTGGAGATAAGAATCTCATGGACTTTCCTGCTTGGGCTGTCTTGAGCCTTAGATCTCAGCCTCTTGAGCAGCTTGGATTAAAGACATGCAGCACTGGTGCCTAACTAGGAAAATGTCTTTAACCCAGATGTTAATGCATTATGTAATACTGGTTTGTCCTTGAACTTGGGTATTTTCTTGAAACTTTTTGGGAATGTTCCATCTGACCACCTATATATAGTAGTAACATGTATTTGTATATAGTAATTGTTTTTATAAATGGTTTTACTCTTAACTCCATGTATTTGTTACCTCTTGTCAGACTATGCTCCTAGAAACACAGATGTTTCGAGGACTTACTTCGACTGCTTCTCTCTGTGAACTGGTGAAGAATAATACAGGACTGCCATCAGGTTCTAAGAAGCCAAGTCCATCAAAAAGTAAGATTGTCGGAGCTGGGAAGGTGGCTCAGCATGAGGCCCTAGGTTGGATTCCTCAGCACCACATAAACAGAGAAGGCCGGAAGTGGCACTGTGGCTCCAGTGGTAGAATGCTAGCCTTGAGCTGAAGAGCCCAGGGCCAGTGCCCAGGCCTAGAGTTCAAGCCCCACAACCGACAAAAAAAAAAAAAAAAAGTAAGATTGTTACAGTAGCCGCAAGGGACAGAGGGGGCAAAGTAGATGGTACATCAGCCTCCCAACCTGAACACGAGTTTTCCCAACTAGGTAATATCTGGTTCTTCATCTTTGCAGTGTCCAGATTCCAATCAGACCTGACTAAGATTAATGACAGATTCTAAATTAAACACATCAGTACTGTCAAAACATTTGATTCTGCATTAGCTCCAAATTGGTTCTGTCTGTACCTTCCAAATGCCAACATGGCACAGAACAAGTGACATCCGGTTCTGTAGCAGTCTTTGGTCCTACCACAGATCCAAACTTCTGTGAGGTTGTGAGACACCCCCCAAACACACATATACTTATTTTCCTTCACTTGGTTCTGACTTTGCTCCATCTCCATGAGACCTGGCTGTGCTTCTCCAGGTTTGCCTCACTGTAGTCTGGTTTGTTTTGTTTTGTTTTTGTTTTAATATTCCTCTCTCTGATACTGGGATAGCACATCCCCGTTGCAGGAAAACAGAAAGGTAATATAGAAGATAGGAAGTAGAAATGTGATATTTAAATGTTTCTCTTTGGGGAATAATTTTGTGTCCTACTGTTTGCTCGTTAATGATACCTAGTCATGAATGAGGCCCACTGAATTTAGTGTGAGCTGATGAAAGCCAGTGTTCTCTGAGGACAGTGCTACTGATGGGCCTCATTGCAGATCTTTGATCCCCAGATGAGCTTGGAGAATGGTAATGGAGTCTGGTCTCATTTTCATTAAAATAGCATTTTCTCAGTTTGAATATTTGAAACTGTTTAGATTCTTCGGCTCGTTTTCTCTTTGATCTGTGCAGAGACGTCAGTAGATAATTAATACTTGAACTTAAACGTAACCTTTCCTTCCAGTAGCTTTTCACATTGTCCACCGGGGCTGTAGAACTAGAACTCACTTTTGTGATGGCATCTGTGTGTGCTGACACGTTCTTTAAATGTAAGAATTCTTTTTGGTGGGGCTGAGAGTTGAACTCAGGGTCTTGTACTTGCTACGCAAGTGCTCCACCACTTGTCATACCCCCAACCAGAACTGTTCTTTTTTCAGACATAACAGTAGCACTGTCACATCTAAGAAGTGTTGGCAGTAAGAATGACAGCTTCTGTGTCATCTTAGCACAGTCTTTTGTTTGTTTTGGCATGCTGGAGTGACAGCCAGGGCCTCCATCAGCCTGCATGTTTTTGGCATTTGTTAAGTGTTTAATGATAAGTGGTTGTTGGATTTTTATTACTAAGTCTTTTTTTTTTCTTCCCTGTCCTGAAGTTTGAACTCAGGGCCTGGCTTTACTTTCTTTTGCAAAGGTTGCTGTGGTCCCAGCTGAGCATACAGTATGCTGCGAGACAGAACTGATTTGGGCAGCTGATGTCTGTCACATTGTCTGTCCAGGAAAACCAAACTTGAGCTAAACACAGACAGAGGTTAGGTATCATCCTGAATTCAGGCCACGTGGCTTCTCCAGTGGCACCGTGTCTACCCTAGTGCGTGCAGACGTGGCATGGACACTGGGCGTGGGCACTGGATAAGGTGGCACTGCAGATCAGCACTGCAGGCTCCCTGGGAGCACAGAGAGTGGGCAAGGCCTGGGTCTCCACCAAGAGGAAAACATATTCTTGTTGTCTGTTAACCTTTGTGTAACTAGTATGAACAAAAGAAACTTATTTCACTCGGTTTTGGCCTCGTGCATGGTAGGCAAGCACTCTGCACCTTGAACCAGGCCTCCAGCCCTCCTGCTTTTACTTTGTTTTTTAGATAGGGTTGAGTTTTGGGCTTACAGTTCTTTGCCTGAATAGCGAGACGACAGGCGTGCCTATTTTTGATGTAAAGTCTCGAGACCTTTTGCCTGGATTGACCTCAAACCTTGATCTTACCATCTCGGCCTCCCAGTTAGCTGGGATTACCAGAGTGAGCCACCACAGTTGGATTAAAGTTTCCTTCAGACAAAATTTTTAACTTATGTTATAGTCAATCCCATCTGAAACGTTTTATTTTATTTATTTATTTTTTTTTTTTGGTCCGGTCGTGGGGCCTGAACTCTGGGCCTGAGCGCTGTCCCTCAGCATTTCAGCTCAAGGCTAGCGCTTTACCACTTGAGCCACAGTGCCACTTCCAGCTTTTTTCTTTTTTTTGTTTATGTGGTGCTGAGGAATCGAACCCAGGGCCTCATGCATGCAAGGCAAGTGCTCTACCACTGAGCTACCTTCCCAGCCCCCATCTGA